TTTTTTTGAGTAGTTTTAGGGGGGAAAAAAAATATTTAAAAAACCAGGCCGCGGACCGGGCCTCGTTGGCCGCGGCCGGGATTTTCGACCGCAGCGGCCGAAATGCCCGCGGCCGCGGCCGCGGCTGTCACATAGCCATCGGGGCCCCAGGGGCGGTGCACGATTCTCGTATACTGCGCCTTTCCGATTTGTACAACCGCAGGGAGGAGGGTACGGAGCCTTTCATTCGGAGGACAAATGTCCTCATGGATGGCACTGTAATGGGACAATATCTGATGGGGGATGCTGGTTATCCGATCCTCCCATGACTGATGATTCCGTTTGGAGGAGAGTGTTTGACAACAAGTTCTCCGCCCTTCGCAGTGTGATCGAAAGGTGCTTTGGTCGGTTGAAAGGAATGTCATGTTGCTTTGGTCGGAAACACATAGCTAATATGCGCAACGTGTGTTACCAATTTTTCGCGTGTTGCATCCTGCACAACATCATCATCGATGCAGGCATCCGGGTCGACGAAGACTTGCTGCGACGGAGAGAGGGGGAAGATAGCGACGGAGACTATGACGACGATGGACCTGCGGGTGACGATGATGGCGACGAATGGGATGATGTCGAGGCTGAGCTGCGTAGAGAAGGCAGTTTATTGTACGCTACCCATCACATTCGTCGCGATGCCGCAACTGCTCTCCGATCGTCTGTTGTCCGCCACGCTCTTCATGTCTCTCGAGTGTTTGGTGTTCACGGTGGTGCACAACAGCGGTAGGGTAGATTGAACTACGACAACGACATAGACACGGACACACACACGAACATACTGAGATGGGTACTGGAGAGAGAGAGAGAGAGAGAGAGAGAGAGAGAGAGAGAGAGAGAGAGAGAGAGAGAGAGAGAGAGAGAGAGAGAGAGAGAGAGAGAGCATGCAATTGGGCTATTTTTTGGTAACAAGTACAAAACTTTACATGATCCAATTCGACATTGTGGAGAAGTTTTTGTACGCTTCGATGAATAGGATGCATGTTTTTGTCAGCGAATGTTGCCTACTATGATCATGGACCAGTTGTTGGACTTCGAATGAAAGTTTGCTGGTGTGCTTGAAAGTGCTTTTTTTTTTTTAATTTGTTTTTTTCCCTTCTGCGATCTTTACTTTTTTACAGTTCGTAACGGCTACAAATGTTATGCTGCCCCATGTACAAGATTAGTCAATGCTCGCATGTTGCTTCACTCAACTGCCATATGCTGCAGGGAAAGGTGAAACATTCGAAAGAAAGTTGATACATTCAAACAAGCTGATGGCCAAAAAGTGGCATCGTTTACCAAAAAAGATGATACATTCGAAAGAAAGGTCACGTTCCTAGGAATATCAAACATGCTGACGGGCACAGAACCAGAAATAAAACTTCGGGACTCGTCATTTACGAAAGTTTATCCAAACACATATGAACACTTCACATGCCCTCACACATGGCCACCGAAGAACCCTTTGCAAAACATGGAAGATGGCGTTGGTCCACACTGAAAAAAACAGTGCGACAGCAGACTGTTCTTGGCCAAAAAAACACAGGGAAGCCTCCGTCAGGCATGGAAAAAAGACTATGATGCCTACGACGTATGTAATGCAGGTGAGATCATCCCACCCGCTCACCCGACTACGGAGACCAAAAATAGGACCTGTTCAGCCATAGCCGGGGTCAAGAAAGGAACCTACACATTTTTGCCGCTTAAAAAAAAAAAAAAAAAAAAAAAACAGCCTGCAACCGGCAGTGTGCAACTTTGAAACGCTAACCTGCAACAGACAGCTACCTATACCCACTCAGGGAATCGCCCTCCATACACATACTTCTCCTCAACTGTTCAGCGACCGCCGTGACGTCACGACGGTTCCTGTCCGGCGACACTACGAACAGCGATGAAGGCGATCTCGCCTCGGCGGGCACCCGCCGATGCGGAGGTGTGCGCACACTCGAGTCACGTCGCATGTGACCCACCGACACCGTCACACTGGCGACGGTTCCACCTCGCATGCGGCCAGGACTTTGCAAAGTTGTGACAAAACTATCGGGCTCTGCAGGGGTTTCGTCGGAGCCCCCTTCGTAAAGTGACAATTAGTGTTGCTCATGCGCCACTTCCTCCCTCAGAGAAGCAACTTGTCGCTCCGCAGCTTCGACTCTCGACATGGCAAGCCCCTCTCTCATGTTCGCCTTCTCCAGCTCACACTACAGACGCAGGAGCTCCTCCACCATAGCCGATACGCGAGTGAACAGCACCCCGCGCTTACGGGCCATCTCATGCGCTTGCTCTGTGTCGTCCCCCGTACGTCRTACGGGGGGTCTCCGTACGGCCCGGACGTACAGACGTACGGACGACGGCCGTACGAGGGTGATTTGGGGCCCAAAAAAAACCCAAAATAAAAAATAAAAAATATAGGGTTGTAGATCTTGAAAAAATCTGCAACCAATTTTTTTTTTTTTTTTTAACCTTTAGAAGGATTTAAAAAAAAT